GACCAGGAATTAGAGAGTTATTTCCATTGACTTAGCGAAAAGGTGTCAAAATTGGCTTGTGAACGCAATAGAGATTACAGTTTCCATTGAATTTGAATAAAACTCTGCATGATCTTGATGAGATATCGGATGAATATTAATTTTGCTTTTCGACCAGCAGCCCCGGAGTTACTGCTCTTGAATGAGTGAAAATATGTCAAAATCGTCTTGCAAATGCAATAATTGACAATTTTTAGCATATTTTAATTAGTGGTTGAGGAGTTATTACCTATGACTTAATGAAAATTTATCAAAATTGACACATAAACAATGAAGCTGCCATGAAATTTGCTGTGTGGGCGTATCCTTAAATTGTTGGGTTATAGTGACCAACTTTGAGTTAAGCCATACCTAAAGGATGGAACATTAGAGGCTGTATCCAAAGTTTGTTTGTTATTGTTATCTTTGAATTTGGCTAATTCTACGGTAATTGAACATACATGTAAATGGGTAGCGCCAAACAAAGTGCATATTTTCAATATGAAATGGAAATATCAATAATTTAAAAGCAGAATATGTTTTTATGTTGTATTCCGAGATAAAATAAATAAACATATGTTGTTAGGGCTAAATTTTGTTGGTTAAAACCTTCTGTGAAATGCAAAATTAGTCTTGGATTTGGGAAATCAGCTTTAGTCCATTCTTTATTCTTAAAACTGATCAAATACTAATGGTACGTGAGGAAAGGTTTTTGGTTTTGTGCAATGCTTAGTTATTGTTCAAACGTGGGTAATTTTGAAATGATTACGGAGTTGAATTCTTTTTTACTTTTTTTGCATTTTTGTAAACACCTACTTATGATGGTTATGTCTGTAATGTTCGTTACTTGAGATAAACAATTGAATAAATCTCATTGCATTGTATCATCATCACCAAAAATCCATTACTAATCACAGTCAGAGAATTTTCAATCGTCTCACATATTATTAAACCCATATCAATATAAATCGCTACATAAGAAGAAATCTGTTGATCATGTAACGCCTATATTTGCTTGTTAATTTACCGTGCGAGCGGAAAAATATATAAATATCAAATGTCTGTAATGTTCTTGAAAAAATAATTTTTAGTAGTGGATGGAAACTTGTGAAGAAATTAAAATGTTATGACCAATATCTTCCCTTGTATTACATATCAAAGTAGAGTTATTTTGGACTGTAATAAGGTTTGAATTTATTGCAGCAAAGCTAATTGAAATTTTTTATATTTGTCCCAGCATTATGTTCAATTACCATAGAATCCGCCATTTACAATTTCATTTATTTTCAGATAGATTCTACATCCATGTCAATAAAGACTGGTTGTTCTTGATTTAAAAATTCAAAATCTTTATAAGTCATATCTTGACCATATTTTGACATTAAATGTAATGTAAATAGTAATCTGTAACAATGGTGTACGTGTACAGTAACATTAGATTGGGTTGGTTTACAATCAGTCTCTTTATCATCTTTTATATTAAATTTTAGCTAAACTCGAGAAATCCAAAAATGGAAGAAAATATTTAGAAAAATTTATAAAAGATATTGAGTGGGAAAACTACAAAAGCTCAACTACAAAAACTGCTCCGACGCTGGAAGAACCTGATCCTGAAGCAATATGTAACACCACAACTCTCGGAGAACTCGAAACCATATATAATTCTGTCAAAATTAATACAACACTAGACGTTCCTGAAACTGTATGTAACTCCCAAAAATCTATAACCACAACCAATAGTACACTAAAAGGGTCAGAAACCACACATAACCCTCCAACGCTGGAAGAACCTGATCCTGAAGCAATATGTAACACCACAACTCTCGGAGAACCCGAAACCATATATAATTCTGTCAAAATTAATACAACACTAGAAGTTCCTGAAACTGTATGTAACCCCCAAAAATCTACAACCACAACCAATAGTACACTAAAAGGGCCAAAAACCACACATAACCCTCCAACGCTGGAAGAACCTGATCCTGAAGCAATATGTAACACCACAACTCTCGGAGAACCCGAAACCATATATAATTCTGTCAAAATTAATACAACACTAGAAGTTCCTGAAACTGTATGTAACTCCCAAAAATCTACAACCACAACCAATAGTACACTAAAAGGGCCAGAAACCACACATAACCCTCCGACACTGGAAGAACCTGATCCTGAAGCAATATGTAACACCACAACTCTCGGAGAACCCGAAACCATATATAATTCTGTCAAAATTAATACAACACTAGAAGTTCCTGAAACTGAATGAAACTCCCAAAAATCTACAACCACAACCAATAGTACACTAAAAGGGCCAGAAACCACACATAACCCTGCGACGCTGGAAGAACCTGATCCTGAAGCAATATGTAACACCACAACTCTCGGAGAACCCGAAACCATATATAATTCTGTCAAAATTAATACAACACTAGAAGTTCCTGAAACTGTATGTAAGTCCCAAAAATCTACAACCACAACCAATAGTACACTAAAAGGGCCAGAAACCATACATAACCCCTGGAAGAACCTGATCCTGAAGCAATATGTAACACCACAACTCTCGGAGAACCCGAAACCATATATAATTCTGTCAAAATTAATACAACACTAGAAGTTCCTGAAACTGTATGTAACTCCCCAAAATCTACAACCACAACCAATAGTACACTGAAAGGGCCAGAAACCACACATAACCCCATTATAATGGATATGACTGGCACTTTTGAAACCACATGTGACTCTACAACTGATCTGATGCATGGAGCTTCTAGAAGCACATCTTGTTCGACTACCAATATGAAAAGAAAAGCACCTGAAATCACGAAAGAAGCATTAAAATTCGCACATCATTTTGCCATGATAGCTGCACCACCAGAAGAGTTGGACTCTTCAGACTCTGGTGAAGACCCACATTATGTGTATAAAAGTGTAAGTGAGAGTTCCTCAAGTGATCAAGATGAACCAATAATTAAAAGAAAACAGAGAAAACGTAAATACATTCAGACTTATGAAGACCATGTGAGTGACAGTGAACTATCAGACCATATACCATATCAAGATGATGTTCTTCCATTTCTTCAAAATAGATGGAACAAGCCAACAGTGAGGCTGATGTCCCCCGCCGAAATAGGAAAATAATTAGAGGACACATATAAATTTATCACAAATTATCTTTTACAAAGTATTGAACAATCAAACAGTATATCTTTACTTATAGTCTAACAATCAAAGTAGGAGAGTTATTGTTTTCCAAAGTCTCGACCAATCAAATTGCGTATCGCTCTGCTTACCCTGAGCAGAAAATGCTCATTATCAAACTTAGTCAAGGTATTACTGTAATGAAACTATACACCAAGTTTCATCAATCTCACTTAATTAGAACTAAAGTTATCGTGTCCCAAAGCATCAACCAATCAAATTGCTTATCTCTGCTTACCCTAAGCGGAAAATGCTCATCTTCGAACTCCATCAAGGCATTGACCTAATCAACACATACACCAAGTTTGAACATTCTAGCTCAATTAGGAAGAGAGTTATCGTGCCCCAAAGTATCAACCAATCAAATTGCTGCTTACCCTGAGCAGAAAATGCTCATTATCAAACTTAGTCAAGGTATTACTGTAATGAAACTATACACCAAGTTTCATCAATCTCACTTAATTAGAACTAAAGTTATCGTGTCCCAAAGCATCAACCAATCAAATTGCTTATCTCTGCTTACCCTAAGCGGAAAATGCTCATCTTCGAACTCCATCAAGGCATTGACCTAATCAACACATACACCAAGTTTGAACATTCTAGCTCAATTAGGAAGAGAGTTATCGTGACACAAAGTATCAACCAATCAAATTGCTTATCTCTGCTTACCCTAAGCGGAAAATGCTCATCTTCGAACTCCATCAAGGCATTGACCTAATAAACACATACACCAAGTTTGAACATTCTAGCTCAATTAAAAGTTATCGTGTCCCAAAGCATCAACCAATCAAATAGCTTATCTCTGCTTACCCTAAGCGGAAAATGCTCATCTTCGAACTCCATCAAGGCATTGACCTAATCAACACATACACCAAGTTTGAACATTCTAGCCCAATTAGGAAGAGAGTTATCGTGTCCCAAAGCATCAACCAATCAAATTGCTTATCTCTGCTTACCCTAAGCGGAAAATGCTCATCTTCGAACTCCATCAAGGCATTGACCTAATAAACACATACACCAAGTTTGAACATTCTAGCTCAATTAGGAAGAGAGTTATTGTGTCCCAAAAAGTGTGACGGACAGACAGACGGACGGACGGACGGACAGACAGACGGACGAACCCATTTTAATAGTCCCCTGCTTTCTTCGAAAGGCGGGGGACAAAAACATGGACCAAGGGAATAATCCATGTGCAGACAAAGTTTCTTCTTCAAATAATAGAGATGCAGCTATTTTGGATGCCTCTCCAGATGCATATATCAATGATTTAGATTCTAATTTTGGGGTGAGTAAACGTGGGAAGATTAAAGATGGTTGTAAACAAGTGTATGACAAAATCAATTACTGCTATTATTGTGAAAAAGGAATAAAATCCAAGATTACAAGACATCTTTTGTCGTTGCACAAGGATGAAGAAAAAATAAGGAGTATTTCTCGTCTACCGAAACGCTCTCAACAGAGGTTGATTCAATTTGAAGTCATTGTTAATGAAGGCAATTTTAAGCACAACATAGATGTTTTGAAGAAAAAAAAAGGTTTTATTGTTGTTGCAAGAAGGTCTGGTGCAGAAAAAGGGACAAAACCAAAGGACTACCTCCCTTGTGAATTTTGTAAGAAATTTGTTTTATTAGCCAATTTATGGCATCATAGACGAAACTGTGCAGTTTGGAAGTATTATTTTCAAAGTGAAGATGAAAAGAAAACTGACACAAATGCTTCAAACCAATCTGTAAGAAGAGGGCGAAATCTTCTACAGAGTGCACTTTTAGAAGAAGATGGAAATCTTGTAAACATTTTGGACAGAATTCAAAATGATGAAGTTAAAGATGTAATAATAAGTGATACACTAATTAAAAGATACGCAGTCTTAAAAATGGAGGGTCTTGGAGATAAAGAGGATCAACAGACCAACGATATTTACATTGTTACACAAAAGGCAAGAACTCTTGGAAGGTTGGTTCTAGAAGCAAAGAAGATTAATAAAAATGGTATCATCAATATGGATTCTTTGTTAAAACCAGAAAATTTTGATTTGGTCGTTAAATGTGCCAAAAGAATGTCGCATGAACGTGACGTTTTGTCCTTAGGACGATTTCTAGGAAATCTTCTAGGCCATATTATCCAAGTTAAAATCGGCCAGAGTTTTAGGGATAATAACGAGGTGAAGATCAAAGAAGCATCAGGTTTCCAAAAACTATATGAATCTGAATGGAATAACAGAGTTAATTCAGTATGCTTAAAAAAACACAACATTTTGAACAGAAAACAATTGCAGACTATACCCATTACGGAAGATTTAAAAACTTTCAGACAATTCATTACCGACAACATGAAATCTGCAAAAGATTCTTTAAACACAGATAGAACATTTGAAAACTGGAACAGGCTATCGAAACTCACACTTTGCAGACTTATTCTGTTCAACAAGAGGAGGAGAGCTGAAGTAATAGAGCTTAAAGTGGACGATTATGAAAAGAGACCGAAATGGAATGAAGATACAAATCAAGAAATCATGTTGTCTCTTTCTAAAACTGATCAGATTCTTTCTAGAAGGTAATTTATTACAACATAGTTTTACTCTTAAGACAAACTTGGCAATAATCTGATGATGAAATACATTAAACTAAGTTTGACATTTTTAGTCAAAGATTTTTTCTTTCCAGCTTCTAATGAAAACAGGAAGTTTATAGGTCTTTGCAATATGTAGGAGATGTTCAATAATTGGAACTGGTACTTTAAAGATGCATTATATAAGATTTAGATAAAGAGCTGGCCATTTAAAAATAGATAATGCAAAATGAATATATTGAAAATTTCAATCAAATTATTTTATTCTGAGCGAAGTTATGAATGTTTGAAGTTTCGATTATCTACTTTAGAGTTTGATTATTAGATGTCGCAGGTGTTCTAATCCAGTCAATATCTCAGCCATCTGATGGTCTGGAGAGTTGATTATGGGCTTGTTAGGTAAATAAATGTCTAAATAACAATTTATATAACATTTGAAGCCTGAAAAAAGACCCGCAATATGCAGATTTAGCTCTTACATGAAGCGTCTTTAAAATTCAATTTTGTTTAATTTTCTAAAATTATCTATTTTTAGGATGGATATGATGATATCTGGCGGAAAATCACGCAAAAATGTTGACGCATATGTTTTGTTTCCCCCTGACTGTAAACAGTCTGCAGACTTAATGATGGCAACGAGAGCCGAAGCCGGAATAAGACATTCCAATCCTTACCTCTTTGCCAGACATTACTCAGACACTCCATTATCAGGGAATTTGGAAATGAGGGAACTAGCAGAAAGTTTTCCAGGCTTAAAGTATCCCGAAAGAATAAATTCCAGATTATTGAGAAAGTACACGGCAACTGTATCCCAGGTTTGTTTTCATTTTACGATAATATAATTTTTCTTGAGAATTTATAATTCTAATTCAATCCAACTGGGCCTGAATGATCACTTAAAATATTTTACTGCTTGGCCTTGTAAAAGTTCAGAAATTCAAGTTGGTCTTATTCTTCGAATTTATATTCAATGAAATGCCACCTTTTTCTTAAAAAATACAGCTCTGTTGGTTGACATATTTTAGTTTGCCTGCAAGCATTCCTTGGTTAGTTCATTGGTTCTTAAACATGTTATTTTTTTTCTTAAAGATATTGGATATGACGGACAAAGAGTTGGAAGTCCTAGCTAAGCACTTAGGTCATAATGTGAGAACTCACAAGGACTTTTATCGCCTCAACAGTTCGACATTAGAGTTATCTAAGGCAAGTTGGTTTTGTGGATATTAATGCTGGTGCTTTATTGGAATTTGTGTAATGATATTTATTCTATAAATGATCCTCTTTTATTCTGACATTTCTTTTTTATTTAAATAAAGGTATCGCAGATGTTAATTGCCATAGATGCAGGTGAACTGAACAGATGGAAAGACAAAAAGCTATCTGATATAGATATAGAGGGTAAGTTATTAGGTCTTGATTTATTATGCCCTGGTTTAGAGCTGAGTGTCCCTTCATTGTCCCCCGCCTTTCGAAGAAAGCAGGGGACTATTAAAATGGGTCTGTCCGTCCGTCTGTCGGTGTTTACTAGGTGACTGCCTTGATGCAGTTCGAAGATGAGCATACTCTGCTTAGGCTAATCGGAGATAAGCAATTTGATTGGTTGATGCTTTGGGACACGATGACTTTGATACTAATTAAGTAAGAGAGGTGAAACTTGGTGTATAGTTCAATTACATATATACCTTCCCTTAGATCGATGATGAGCAGTTTCTTCTTAGGCTAAGTAGAGACTTCAATCTGATTGGTCGAGACTTTGGAACACAATAACTCTCCTTCTAATTGAGGTAGAATGTTCAAACTTGGTGTAGGATTTTATTAGGTGAATGCCTTGATGATGAACATTTTGCACTAAGGGTAAGCAGAGATAAGCAATTTGATTAGTTAAGACTTTAGAGCTCAATAACTTTGATTCTAATTGAGTGTAAAGTTGGTGTAAAGTTTCATTACATCAATACCTAAGTTCGATGATGTGAATTTTCTAAGGCTAAGTAGCGATAGGCGATTTGATTGGTCAAGACTCTGCTTTTAATTGGGGAGGAATGTTCAAACTCGGTGTAGATGTTCATTAGGTAAATTGTCTTGACTGAATTCAATGATTAACATTTTCTGCTAAGACTAAGCAAAGCTAAGCAATTCCATTGGTCAATGTTTTGGGACATAATAAGCAATTTGATTGGTTGAGAATTTGAAATAAGATTAATTTGATTATAATTGAGGGAGAGTGATGAAAATTAGTGTATAGTTTGGACTAAGTATTGATAAGCAGTTTGATTCCTCGATGCTTTATAAAAAAGACAAATGTGCAATTAATTAATATGTGTCATCTATTTATTTTGGGATTGCAGCGGGGGACATCAGCCTCACTGTTGGCTTGTTAAACTTACATCGGTTCATCATTACAACTCAAGGACTAACTCTAAAGAAACCCACACAAATTTTGACAGAATTCTATGAAAATTCATGATTATATATCAAGCCTTTTTCCCCCCAAGAAGAGTTGCTGTGTGGGCCTATGTTACCTTGCCTGGCAAGCTATCTTTGTACTAATAAACCTGAGATCAATATTAGATCTGAACTTTCTTGTCTGTTACGAGAATTCTGTCAACCAGTCTGCAGATAGGGAAATATTGGATTTTCATATTTTGGATGGAATAATATTTTATGCTATTTTATATTATATATATATACAACAGAATTAATTACCTGGTGCCATATTGGGGTGTTGGTTTGGTATGGCACCAAGTCCCACATAGAAGACAAAATCGGAAAATTGAATCAGAAACTTCCAACAAACCTATCCGATCAAACGAAGAAAACCGTTTGTTAGGCAGGGGCCAGTCCAGAAATCGGGGCCGATGGAAAAGGAACCCAAAACAATCAATCCAATAGTAATAAATACCAGTGGCATTGAACTCTGTCGGAATGATATTCTATTATTTGATAAGGGACTAAAATTCACCCCAACACCTTCAAATGATAGCTGCTTACTCCAGTCTGAACTAACACAATTTTGTAGAAAACTGCGCCTCAGACATCATTTCTACAGAGAGGATGATTCTCGACCCCCCAGAACCCGAAAGCCTGGCTCGAAACAAATCTACTTTTACACCAAAATCAGGAAAAGATGTACAGTTAGATAAATTTATAACAACTATAGCCACTCATAAAATTCAATCAAAACCTACCATTAAAAATCTAAATAAAGGTGAATTGAAAGCTCTTAATAATCTGAGAAATAATCAAAACATAATCAAACAAGCAGATAAAGGAGGAGCTATAGTCGTTATGGATAAGTCATTCTATCAAGAAAATATATTCAAAATGCTCCAAAACACGGAATATTATGCGCCATCAACCATCAAAGAAAACAACAACGTCATAGTAAATATGAGAACATTTGTGTCTTGCTACACCGGAATGCTGTTAAAGGAGGAACAAGAATATCTTATGAACGTCGATCCAAGCATTGCATACTTTTATGGATTGCCGAAAGTACACAAAAGTAGGCTAATTCAAGATGCTGTAAGACGAACTAATCATGAAGTTGTAAATATAAAATGACCAGGTGACCTAACGTTCAGGCCAATAGTAGGCGGACCAAATAGTAGTACCCAAAGACTTAGCAACTTCATTGATATCATTCTGAAACCACTATGTTCTAAAGTCAAAAGCTTTCTCCGCGATGATATAGATTTCCTTCATCATTTACCTAAGCAGGTAGAACCTGGTAGTACATTAATAAGCTTTGATGTAGTAAATCTATATAATAACATCAGTAAAGATCTGGGAATAAAAGCTATCGAATATTGGATAGATACATACCCCGATAGTATCCCAGATCGTTTTTCTAAACGATTTATAATTGGCGCTCTAAATTTAGTAATTTCAAATAACATATTTTTCTTTGATACCCATTATTTCTCACAAATTAAAGGAGTTGCTATGGGTACAAAAGTTGGTCCGACATACGCAACATTAACATTAGGTTACCGCAAAGAAATTTGGTATGAGAAAATACCCACAACCTGCGATAAAACCTTTAGCGACATGATTAAGCAATCGTGGAAACGATTTCTGGATGATTGTTGGTGCGTCCTTAATATAGAAGATACAGCGATCACCAAACTCCACGATCTCTTGAATAGCCTAGATGTCGATATTAAATTCACTGTTGAATGTAGTAAAGTAAAACTAAACTTTCTCGATGTCACGGTGAAACTTTTACCGAATGGTCAAATTGAAACTGATATGTATTATAAACCGACAGACACACATCAGTATCTCAATTTTAATTCATGCCATCCTTCTCATATCAAACGTAATATTCCGTATAATTTAGCCTGACGCGTGTGCACCATAGTTTCAAAATCGGATATCAAACAAATAGGCCTTAATGAGCTTAAAGGTTTTCTAAAAACGCAACACTACCCGGCAAAGCTAGTAGATGATGCCATCCGAAAAGCTTTAAGTTTAGATCAGAGCAAATTAAGGTGTCCAAAAACGATTTGTGAAACAAAGAGTCACGAAGAAGTTGCTTTAGTAACTACTTTCAACCCATCACAAGCAGATGGTAAATCTATAATTAATAATAATCTCCATATTCTTAAAAATAGCCCGATTATGGATGATATATTAAATAAGGCAAAAATAATAAATAGTTTAAAGCAACCTCAAAGCCTGGCTAAATTACTAATCTCATCAAAATTCGAATCAACTAAAATCATACCCACAGTTAATAAGTGTAATGAATCCAAATGTAAAACGTGTTCAATCATAATTGAAGGTTCATCCATAAATATCACGGACAATTTTACATTTCATGTAAAACAACCAATGTCTTGTAAATCCGATTACATTATATATGTAATAATTTGTCCGGGCTGTAAGGGTAGATATATCGGAAAGACCATAAATATGCTTAGATTAAGAATGAACCTCCATCGACAACATATTCTTAATCCGCTATACAGGATGATACCCCTGAGCCGACACCTCGATGTTGTGGCAAATGCAATTTTAATGTCTTTCCGTTATATCAATTAAACAGCAAAAACAACGATCTATTAGAAGCAAAGGAATCATATTTTATTGAAAAATTCAAACCATTGCTTAATTCAAGGTGTTGATTTTTGTTATATTAACATTGTAGTTGTGTAAAATATAAATGTTTAATTAATAATTTTGTTAATGATACATAATGTATGCAATATTATCTTATCGTGCCTATTATAGCCATTATAGTTCATTGTTGTAACCATGACGTTATTACGTCACATCAATTGTTGGAATTGGTAAAATTTGCCTGAAGAAGCTTAATAAAGCGGAAAGTACTCGCAAAAACCTAGTTTTTTTTCCTAAAACATCTTTATTTCGAATATCTAACACCTAAGAGTAGCTTTAACTATAACCTTTTATTATATATATATATATATATATATATATATATTTATATATATATTCCTTTTCTTTGGAAACATTATAGCATATACTTGTCCTACCGTTGTGTTGAAATATTGAGAAGTTACAACCGTGATTTCATTTTTTAAATCTTAGCCGTTCTCGATTATTCATGGCTTTGTTTTTGGTCTAGCTAGTTATTAAATCTATACCATTCTCTAATATTCATGGCTTTGTTTTTTGTCTAGCTAGTTTTTTTTTAAATCTTAGCCGTTCTCGAATAATCATGGCTTTGTTTGTGGCCTAGCTATTGTTTAAATTAATTTGTATAGAAAATACTTCGGTGAATATAATAAAGTTATTGTAAGCTAAATACCTGTCTCGTCGTGGAAATTGAAATCTGTCTAAACCCACTCTATTCCAAACGTTAACAAAATAGTTTTAAACACTAAAACTTTTATGTTTCCATTTGAAAGGTGAGAATATAACTAGATACAACAGAATAAGATTCTACTACCTGCCATCTCAGTTATCTTCCCATGTTCCTTTATGGAATCTAATTTGGAATTCATCTGCCAAGAGTTCTTTTACTATCCTGGCAATAAATCTACGTAGAGCTTGAATGAAAGAACTAGTATCGAGGGACGAGGCTATTTCAATGTGTATTGCACGAATACTCAAACACGTAAAAACTACGCCGTAACGTTTAAGCTCTTTGCGACCTTCTTTCACAGTAAATGGTCCAAAGTAATCCACGCCCACTCGTGTAAAAGGAGGAGACTCTGTGACACGGTCTTTTGGAAGATCTGACATCTTTTGATTCATTGTGGGTGCACGAAGCTTACGACATGTAATACACTTGGACAAGATATTACGAACAGCTGAGTTTGCATTTATGATCCAATACCTGTCACGTAATATATACTATTCAAAAAAAGTAGGGGATATTTGATTTTTAAGTGTTATTAAAGTCACCTAATGAAACTGACGAAGAAACAAATGACAAAATGAAATGAAGTTCACACTCATCGATTTATTCCAAATGATCGTTAGACTAAGTAAGGCACAGACTGACCATTATAAGGGTAAAATGATACCCGGGGTCAAACAGCAAAGTTACCACAGCATCACAACCAAGTCAGTAACGGGTAAATCCTCCTCTGTTTGCCAAACAAGCTTTGATCCGACGTGGCATACTCCTAATGAGACGTCTAAGGTCATTTTGGTCCAGATTGTCCCATTCCTGTTGCAACGCAGCAGCAAGTTCTTGGACATTGGCAGGACGTTGTTGACGTTACCTCTGTCCAAGCATGTCCCAGACATGCTCGATGGGGGAGAGGTCGGGACTCAGTGCTGGCCAAGGTAATGTGGTGATGTTCTGTTGTTGGAGGTAACCTGTAACGATCCTGGCCCTGTGACATCTTGCGTTGTCATCCTGGAAGATGAAACGGCGGCCATGACGTCGTGCGAACGGCACAACATGGACTGCCAAGATGTTGTCCCGGTAGTACTGGCCTGTAACACGCCCTGCAACAACATGTAAAGCCGTTCTTCCAGCAACAGTGATGCCTCCCCACACCATAACAGAACCACCCCCAAATCGATCATGTCTGATGACGTTAACGTCTTGGAAGCGCTCGTTTCGACGACGCCACACCCTCTTACGTCTGTCCAAAAAATCAACAGTGAACCTTGACTCATCTGAAAACATCACATTGCTCCAGCGTCGATTATCCCAGTGTTGACGATCCCTACACCAACGACGTCTTGCCTGAATGTGATGATCTCTCAAACAAGGGATCACGCGAGGACGTCGGGCGCGACGGTGACCCCTATGCAGTCGATTCCGAATCGTCTGGCCACTCACTCTCACACCAGTGTCTGTTTGAAGACGAGCGCTGATCTGATTTGCTGTGATGACACGATTTCTCAAGGCCAAGGTACGGATAAATCGATCCTGGGCTTGAGTTGTCGCCCTTGGTCGACCTGAGCGTGGTCTGTCCTGTACAGATTGTGTATCACGGTATCTGGACCATAGCCTGCTTATGACAGACTGAGAAACATTCATCGTCCGCGCCTCAACCGCCTGTGTTGTGCCGATCTGTAGCATGCCAAGGGCACGTAACCTTTCATTTTGGGTAAGCCGACGCATATCAAAATTTGTTTTCTGGTCACTAAAACAATTAAACTGATGTTTCCACCCTGGAATTCAATGCCACAATGACTGTAACATTCAAAGTCAGAGTCGTGCAAATCTTGGGTTGGACCCCCATGATGATCCCAAGCATCACCTGCATTCCATGCGGTAGCTATTGGTGCGTTTGGGCGTCACATGTAACTGGAAATGATTCTTCTGTTAGGTTCTATAGTAACTTTTTTCGTAGTCATTTGCATATTTTAGTATTATGCCCCCAAAATCAAATATCCCCTACTTTTTTTGAATAGTATATATTAAAATTGACTTTAGTGAAAATTATAAAAAACAAAATATATTACAAATGACTTGAGTTGAAATTAAAATTTACTTGGGTGAAAATTATAAAAAAAAAACCAAATAATATTAAAATTGACTTTAAAAAAAATAAATGATATTATTTTTCATGTCCGTTATCAACCACGGAATATGAACACAAATGACAAGTTTAAAACAAACCTATGGTGAAATGGAATTAATAAAAGCGTAATGTAACTTTTATTACGTTTTGGACAAAACGTTTAACACGTATGTGGCACCTTTGGACAAAAATGCAAAACGAGTCATTCTGAGGTTGGCCCCGGTTCGATCCATGTGTCGACTGAGATATTAATTTCTGGGCATTTACCATCACGGTGTCTTTGGTGTAGTTCTATTTGTGTTTTCGTTGAAAAGGACGTAAAATAATCCTTGGCAGTGAGAATTGGGCGTTGAGAAGGCGGAAACGCCGTTATCCGAGCACACTGCATGGCCTTAGTCATTAGCCAGGTTGACGTTAAACATATTTTCATTTCATCTCATTTCCAAGCACAAAAAAAAAATATTTGTTGAATACTCACTACACGTGGCCTGCTTGATTTCCACGGTTATCCGCGAGCCCTACTGAGGGCTGAGTTCTCTGCACCGAACATTTTATAGCAAAATATTGGTTTAATAATATTCAGTATTCTTTTCGAGTTGTCTAACTAGTGTTGTACGCCAAAAAGTAGTTATATTTGCATATTATCAAATAAAAAAGTTTGCGGTTATTAAAAACTTATGTGGTCGGGCAGCGCGGAGGTTTAGGGCACATTTCAAGGGAAATTTAGCAGGTATCGCAACGCCCCTATTAGAATTAAATGTTTTTGTTTGATCAGATATTCAGCTATGTTATGCTCTGGGAAGTATTCAATCTTCCCGAATTATGTTTGAGGAACCACTGAACCAGCAAAGAAAATAAAAACTAAACTTTAAGTACGGATTTAATTAGAGTCTGTTGAGTTCAAAAATAGAGGCGGTAAATGGGCAAAGCAATGCCCAAACAACTACGGCTGGTATTGGTCAATAGGAAATATACAATCAGCTGATTTTATTACAATAGAGGATGGTTCTGAGGACTTCCTTTGGGCAAGTTTTTTTTTAAAACTAAAAGACGAAGTGTTGTCACTCGTGTGATTTGATCATATCCAACAGCTACGCTATATTTCTTTCGTTTCATTACTTAAAGATGCATTATGTAAGCTAATTATGTCTATAGTTCATATTTCGTTTGGCTTCAAATCTTATATAAATTATTAAATAGACATTCATTAGCATGGCCAGACAATAATCGACATTCTTGATCATCGGATGTTTACGATTTTCAATGGATTGAAACAGTTAATTAAAAGATGGAGGTGCGGGAGAAAACGGTAGCGATGGCAATCGAAACCCTGCTATACTCCAAACACCCGTAACTCCACTCAGAATAAAGTAATTTGACTGATATTATCAACGTATTCATTTTTCTTTATCAACTTTTAAACTACCAACCGTCATGAACAAGAGAAGGCGGCCTCATCCGACCAGTGAATTTTTCGCCATGTTCTAATGATGACGCATTTACTGTCACAGGATGGACGAGGCGTGACCGTTTTGGGGAATAAAGAAACTAAATACAAAAGAATTAATTTTATATAACTCAAAATACAATATAACAATGAACACTTTAAAGTGCGCGCACTATATAAATGTTGAAGCTAGGGGAAAATGTCCATCCGTCAGCATCACCATATATCGACACCATTTAACAAATACCTTACATCGACGATACCATTGTTCAGCGACCACTCAGACGATACCATTCCCATAACACAGTGTCCACCCATCGGCAAGACCATACATCGACGATACCATTTATCGGCGACTAATCATAGACGATACCATTCACAGCACACAGTGTCCACCCATCGGCAAGACCATACATCGACGATACCATTTATCGGCGACTATCATAGACGATACCATTTACAGCACACAGTGTCCACCCATCGGCAAGACCATACATCGACGATACCATTTACAGCACACAGTGTCCACCCATCGGCAAGACCATACATCGACGATACCATTTATCGGCGACTATCATAGACGATACCATTTACAGAACAGTGAACCCATCGGCAAGACCATACATCGACGATACCAAAAGTGAACAGTTAACATCCGTCAGTAGGTACCCAAAAGGGGACCTGTAAAATTAGTCAACATTTATAAATGAAATATTTACTCATACTAACAAAATATACAACGATGAGTAAAATATACGAAACCTGCACATCGGAACCAAGACACCAAAATTAATAGCATAACGATTTTACTCACCCAAGTACCCTATGGCAGTACCGAGTCCTCCAATCCAGCTGTCATAATCCATCTCCTAAACCTGCCCGATTGTCAGTTTATATACTACTTGTATGCACGTGCATTGAAGGTAGATAGTTTGGGCGAGCCTTAATATTACAGGTAAATAGTTTGGGCGAGCCACGCGGCAGAGTTTGGGCGACCCATAGTGACACTAATGAAATACGACCGTGACATTTACGACAGTCTATTTAATTTTTTAATATGTGCCAAAATGCACCAAATGATGGCCGTTTTTGAAAATTTTCTCAGGCTGACCCGATCTCCCCCGCCCCCGGATC